CTCGTTGTCTTCATTATAATACCAATACTAACTGTATTTGTATTCACATATGTAACACATACAAATGCTTAGCGCAAAAGTACAACCTTGATGTGCTAACCTTAAAAATTTCGCAAAAAATTTTTTTTGCCAATTTTTTTGGGGCGTTTTATTCCTTTGAATGGATTTGAAAATAGCAATTACGGTTACATACCTACATATGTACGTATATGCTTTTAAATTTGTAGACTATACAACGCTTTCAATGCTTCATGTATTACACTATTATGTCATGAAGCTGAAAATATTCGACAACAGGAAATGTGGCAACATTGCAATTTTGGTTGACTTCAAAGAGGATATTTGGGGTTTTAGTATGATTTTTTAATATTATATATATTATTTATTTAAAATTAAAAGAATTTACAGTCAACTATTTTTTTTAAGTTTAACATTTTTTTTTACTTGCAAATTATGCTTTAAAAAATAGTTAAAATTAATATGTGAATAAAACTTCTGTTATTTTGTAACTCTGAAGATCTTAATTGATTAATTTATAAATTTTCGACCTCAAATACCGATGCCAAATTTCTTCAATTAAAAATAAAAATTGTAATTATAATTTTGAGATTAAATAATTCTTCAATTAAAAATAAAAATTGTAATTATAATTTTGAGATTAAATAATCAAAATTAAAAATTCAGAAAATACTTTTTTTAATTTAAAAATTGGAGTACAGATAAAATAATTATTTTTCAACGAGTAAAAAATTTTAAAATAAATATTTATTTAAATTAAAAATTGAGCAAGTATTTTGTAATTAAATATTGTAATCCCAAAAATCGTAATTAAAAAAAGTTTCAAATTTCTATTCTCAAATACCAACGCCAAAGATCTTGGATTAAAAATTAAATTTTAAATCTGATTTTGCGATTAAGAATTGCAAATTTAAAATTAAAAAAAAAAAGTTGTAATTAAAATTAGAATGCGAAATTAGATAATCATACATAAATATTTAATTCACTAAAAAAACTATTATGCTTACGCCTCATTGACCATGTAAAATGCTGTCAAATTGGTTTCCTTGTAGTTGTTGTAGTGATAGGCGGCACTAACCTTTGCTTGATAAACATTGGCACGACCAAGGTGCCAAAAACACTTCATTACACACAGACATGGTGCAAATTGATTGGCAAAATATATACACCTGTGAATATGTTAAGCGTGGAAGGTCATCAAAAACAACTGTAAAATAGAAAATAAATATTTTCTGCACAAAAACACGCAAATAATGCTTCATAAGAATTTCAAGTTGAAGACCCTCCAGCGAAACGTTGACCGAAATACAAATATAAAAAGCGAAAATATACAAAGAACTCTGGCATGTTGCGGACATTTTATACCGCTTTCCCAGATGAACTACAACATACTACTTAGCATGCTCACAGCCCATATTTAATTATTTGTTTTGGAGAATGACGTGTGCAAGATGTAAGCAAAAATGCGTCAGCTGCTCAATTCATTAATTATGTATCGAAAATTCGAAACTTGAAGGTTGCAGATAAAGCAAGAAAGAAAATTAAAAAAACGAAAAGAAATATTTTAAAAATCGCCAAAATAATTTTTTAATATTTAAAATGCAAAAAAAAAATTGTGACAAAGCGCACACAAACTATCTGATTTTGTAGCCGTCATTGCAAAACCGCGCGTCACGTCAAAACCACTCCAACTAACGGCGTTTGCTGCGTGTATTATAAAAACTAATAAAACGGCAAGTAAACGTAAATCGTGAGACAACAAACCAACGCATATCATTTATCATTTTGCCATGCTTTAGTTTTGCTCACAAGAAAACAGTATTTAGGCGTCACTTGTTAAGTTTTTTTTCGCCGAGCGCAACAATAATGGCAACATTGGTTTGGCTATGAATGAAAAATGCAAATTCGTCAAAACAACATTTCCTATTTACAAATCGTTCTATTGCTACTAATTTGTAAAAAAATTGATTGAGGCAAATTATATGAAATTTAAATTTGAAAATATTATATTTGGTTATGATGAAATTTCAAATTAACGGTAACTGTTTATACGCTTCTAATAGATGTTAACGTGGGCAGTTGAAATATTTAACAAAAAATTATTTTAGAAACAACTGTGAGATCATCAAAGTGCATCGATTTTAGTCGACAATTCTTCCAAACTCACTTCCTGGCAGATTGATTTGGCAGTCAATTCCAACATGAAAGCAAAAAACGATTATGAGAGTGCTTGACTAGTTCGAAAACCTTTTTTGAAGAGTGGGCGTGATTCGCTATTCAGCACGCAAGAGATGCGTTAATATGAAGAAATCAACCGTTATTTGTAGAAAACAAATATTTTACAGCACGAGCCTACAAAATATAAACCCGTTTTATGAAAGCAAATGAGATTTTCATGCGATTAGTTTCATTGCTACTAATAATTATGCCAAAGTAGAAATCATATTAATTATTATGAAATTGTCAGATGAAAAATAGAAACAGTGTTAGTAAATTTAAAATATCCTTTAAGCGATAATGAGCCAAAATTTAGGATTTTATTCATCCTCTGAAATCTGGCAAAATGGTTTAATGTAATCTTAGTTCTATAACTATGGTTTATAGGACTGGCAATTCAAGAACACCAAAATACCTTCAGAAAATGTTTAAAAGTTTTTCTGGTAAAAAATTTTTAAAATTATTTTAGGATAGATCGTTCCACAAATACACCATTTGCTTCAAGCATCGTTCGCTGATTCATGCAGTTATCACAATGAATCAACAGCACCATAAAGGAAAGTGAGCAGTTAATAGTAACCAATATAACCGGTAATGTTAATATTAAATTTTGTATAGTTCTAAAAGCTTGCAGATCAGCGCACAGTCCATAAAAGAAAGCCACAAAGTGTGACCTTCATTTAATATTCCATATTATTTCTACAGAATTTTTTTATTTTTCATTTTATCCACATTTTATTTTATTCATTTATTTTTATTTATTCAGACACTTTTTAATGGCTTTTACCGGTAAGTTATTTTTTTTTTTTTGTACCAGCGTGGAAGTGAATAATTTCGACAGTTTTTGTTTTCTTTGAAATAATATGAGCATGAAAGTTATACGAAAATTCTCGCAAGCTTTGAATAACAAGCAAAAATTTGCATTTGCATTTATTTGCCAAGACAAGTTAATTTGTATGCGTATACCGTTAGAATTGAGTTGGCAGATTTATAACGGTGATAGGTACTAAGCGCGATAGTCTCCAAAAATATTTTAAAAAAAAACAAATTAAAGCGTTAGAAGTGTGCTGGATTTGCAGAAAGTGGTTTAGAAAAAGGTGTGATTGAAAAACCGCATAAACTGGATTGGGATAGCAAGAAAGAAAACGTATGGGTATAAACAATATAAAGGGAAGAATACATAGTGTATAGCTTGCATAATATGCACAAATGCTGAGAACACAACGGATATTAAAAACCCACCATAATACATTATTATCATATATTCCAACATTACTCATATTCAAATATTGCGAAAAGGTTCCTCTCTTACACTTTCTTAACATTTATTTTTATTTTTGTGTTTTTCACTTTAGAATGTAAACGAAAATTATTTGTTTTAGCGAAAATTGCACAAACACTTACTAAGCTCCGCATGGATACAGCTAAAACGTCAGTTAAATCTGAGTTGACAGCCTATGGATATTACTCATACGTATATATGTTTGTACGAGTGTGGAGAAATGTACTCAAGCCATTAAAGCTACGCGGTTAAAGGTGAATTTTGCGATTTAAGCAATAGGTATACAAGCTTAGAGAGAGCTATTGGAAGAATGCATTTTATGGTTTTCCCAACTCACCTTATGATGCTCAAAACAAAAAGAAAATGTTGAGACGTGTAACATTCATTAAATGTCAGGTATTTAAAATAAAACAACGGTAATAAAATATACATACTACATACATATGCAAGTATATCTGTTAGGTAAATATGTATGTATAATCGTGTACGGTTAATTTTTCTTCTTTAAAATCTTATTAAAAATTAAAAAAATTGTTATATATTATATTATATATTTTTAAATATTTTTTTCAAAATTTCAATATTTAGCCTTGTTGCTGCTGAGTTTAAAATTTTAAAACCATACACCAAATTTTAATAGATCAAAATGAATCAAACTCGAGTTTAAGGTTTTGAGTTTATGACAACGGCCAAACGGACCCCCTAGAATGCTAGCGAAACCATACAAAATATTTATGCAATTTAAGAACAACTGTGTTGCCACATTTTTCAATATTAAGCTTTAATTTTCCTAAAAATCAGGGTTATATCTTCGATAACACCAAAACAAGTCAATTAAAAAATATTCAAGCTAAACTACGTGTTTATGGGTAGTGTTCAAAGCCGAACCAGACAATAAACTCAAGTTTTTGACAAAATCTGTACGCCTGAATCAAAGCGCTAAAGACTTTTTCAAAACAATTTCTCGAATCGAAATAATATTTTTTTATTTTGAATATTTAACACGAAAGTAAATTATTTAGACTTAATAATTTTGTAGTTAAATTCAATTTAATTTATTTAGTTTGCAGAAAAAATTCTATAATAAAATAAAAACACAATATATAACGTTAAATTTAAATATAAACATATATTATATTTTATAAAAATGATAATAAATAAAACAGAAATAATAAAGTATTGACATAATAATTATATTCTGAATATGTTTTTATCTATTTATTAAAAAAAAATTAATAATTGAAAAATATGTAAACTTTATATTTTTTAATTTAATACATATATTTACATAACTTAAGAAAAACGATGTTTATTTATTTATAACTTTTTTTAATAAGCTAATTTATATTTTCAATTTAAAAAGAAATGTTTTATTTTTTTTTTTATAAAAAACACATACATATTAAATTTTTTTTATAAAAAAAAATATTTATTGGTTTTTTTTTATTTTCAATAATTTCAAAATCTAAATTCTCAAACTTACCATGCATAGTGCAGCACGCGCCATTTTTGCAAATATAAAATTTGATTTGCTTTAAGCAAGGAAATTACTTTTCTAAAAGTTCTAGGCGATCTATTAAAAAATCTTTAAAAAAAAGGAAAAAAAATTAATTAATTAACTAAGGCAGCAACGGCAAATAACACGTTTAGCATTTATTTATTGTATTTTAACACTTAATCCTTTTGAAAGCGTTTGAAGTGTATATTTAGAATTTGCTTTTAGTCCTTTATATTTGTTACACAATGTCTTTGTTGTATATGTACGTATATGGTATATACATACATATGTACGTATATATATGTATTTATAATTCAGCAAGCCACAGTTATTTTTAAATGTTTGTTGTAATATCCTTAAAGTGGTTGCGAGCACAAGTGTTTTTTGTTTGGGTTTGGGTTATTTAAAATTTTTTTTAACATTAGTTATTTTATAAACTTTTAAATTTTCGTTCAAATTATTTTTACTTAAAACTGTTTTGTTTGCCGTCAAATGCTTTTTTGAATGAACAAAAATTAAGTGTTAAATATCAACAAAATATGTATGCTGGAAATTACAATTTGAAAAAAGCTTTACTTTGCTAGACCGTACCGTTTGGACCGATCTGTGAGAACTGAAGATGCTCATCGCGCTACTTGCCAATATAAATGAAGACTGCGAAATACAGCAAAAGCCCCAAACAGCGAAACAACATCTTTAACAAAAATAACAATGCGATCTGCCACGCCAATAACACACTTAAGCACATACACACAAGCAAACGCATGCATATGTTGAATGTATTGTGGTGCGCAAGCGCAGACGCTGCAGTCCACAGCGACGCCGACGCAACAATTCATTAACTTTTCAGTGACAAAATCAGTCGCATCATCGGCGAAGAAGAATAAAATGAGCATCTTTTAAAGCAACAATAACAACAAGCACTAAACGCTCGCATGTTGGCTACGCAGCGCACGCTGCCATAAATTGCCGTTGTGTAGGTGCGTTTCAAACCCAAAACCTGCCGGCACGTCAAGCGCAGGCCAAAAACAAGTTTATTTTTTGCCAACAACGATCGGCAGCGCCGATACGTGAGTGAGAGTCAAATGAGTTCGTGTTCGCGGTGCTCGCCGGCGCTCTTTTGGACGCGTTTACGGGCAGGTGTTGCGCCCCTATGGAAAATATAACCCACACACATATATTTGCTTATATTTTCTTGTATGTATGTGTGTCTATATGCAAAATATAAGGGTAACTTTTGGTGATTTTGCATTTGCATGTGTGTTGGTATTATAGAATTTTATTTAAATCTTAAGTTAACACACCTGTTAGTATGTGTGTGTGATCATAAATGAAGCTCCCTTGAACCGTGAACAGTGAAACGAAATTACGTAAAGTTGAGCTTTTGCAAAAGGCTCACGCAAATACACACACACATCTAAAGCTCTATATATTTGTATGTGTGTGTATCTCTGCCTTATTCCTTGTTCTCCACTTTTTCGCTCACTCATTCACACACACACAAGAAATATTCGCCGATCCGTTTCCAGTTTTTCCTGCTGCCACATGAAATTCATTAAAATCATTTTGCGTGTGATTTAATAAGTAATTAAAATGTTAGCATTTGAAGCGCAACCACATTTGAACCCGGCCAGATCGTACACATAATGATTGTATTGTTGTGTTTTCGATTTTCTTTCGTAGGTTCTTTGTTTTCTCAACCACATTTATTAGCAATTCTTTTAATTGAAATTCTAATATTTTCGTTGAAATTTTTTTGCTGTCCATCGATTTGAATAAAATTAAGTTCAAATTATTTCCGCAATATTTAAAATTTTATTCAAATGTATTATATGTGTAAGTATATGTATGTATATACATATATGCATATGTTTTCACAGATCTGCGATTTTCATTTGTATTTTTTTGTACCTAAATAGCTTAAATATTAAACAACAAACGTGCCACTTTGTAATAATGAGAAACTTAACAACACTATATTCTGTTGGAATTTTTAGTCTTTAAACCTCTGTGAATGAGTTGATTACTTATGATTAATTCTTGGATTATTACTACTACTATTATTAATTAGCCTATAGAACTCTATTAGTCAATACGATTAATAATTATTAACAATTTGTAAAATATGAATTTTAATAAAAATAAAAAATGTATTTTTAAACTAAAATGTATTTTTAAACTTTTTTTATTTTGATAGTATATTATTTTATTAAATTACAGAACAGAATTAAATATTAATTAACGAAAAGCATTATATTGTTTTGGAAAATGTTCTCCATTAAGATCTATACACTTTTGCATGCGTTTGAACCAATTTTCAAGGCACGTTTGCCACTATGATTGTGGTATCTCCAAAACATGCATTCTGAACGCATCAACCGCCTCTTCAGATGACGAAAAACGTTGACCTTTTAGCTTACTTTTTATGTACGAGAATAAAAAAAAGTCATTCGGTGCCAAGTCGGGACTACATATACGATGAATGACTCATCAAATAGAAGTTTTGAGTACTCAAAAACGCAGTTGTTTCGGTAAATGTGTGAGAGCTCGTCGAGTGTGAAGAGTGTTCCGATCGGCGGTTGATTTTCCTGATTTCTTAAAATTTCTTTTTTTTTACAATCAAAAACTAATTTCTATATTTGTCTCAATCTCACGATAGGTCACATGAAGATCTTGCGATATCCCTTGCGCACAGCGTCAATAGTTTCCGGAACAACAACTGTTTGGACGACCCTCACGAAATTCGTCTTGGAGTGATATACGACCTCGATTGAAGTCCCCATACCATCTTTAACCACTGGATCTAGATGGTTCTTCATCTCCAAAAATTTAATTAAATTCATTGATCACTGTTGCTGAGTTGTAAAAAAAGACGAAAGCTGTAAAAAAAGTTCGCAATTTAATTCCATTTTTTGGCCGAGATGAATATTTTTAGCTACTGTAAACAGCACAAATAGCGCTCGTATGTCAAAACGTTCTGAGTATGTATAACATCGAAATTATCGAAACTTTTCGATAAAGTTTTGAGCTGCCAGATTGCAATATTAGGGTCGCCAAATCCCGAAATATAAAAGGCAATATGCATATGACCGTCTGTCTGTATATACCTTACACGAACTAGTCCCTCAGTTTTTAAGATACCGATCTGAGAAATTTTGCACACATTATTTCCTCCTCAAGAAGCTGCTGATTTGCCGGAACCGCCGATATCGAACCACTATGTCACATAGCTGAAATACAAACTGAGTAATCAAAGTCAAGTCCCTGTATGGAAACCTTTTTTATTTTATATGATATCTTGACGAAATTTGGCATACATAGATTCATTTCCAAATCAACACTACAATTTACGAAAATACTGTTCAGATTGGATCACTATCTTGATCTTATGTAATTTAATATCTTTTAAATATTGTTTACATCAAACATTGTTGCTAGAAAGAACCAGCACACCGTTGATTCAGTTTTGCATATAGTAGTTGCTACTTATAAGAAATGCACCTGTGAAAGGTATGTATCTACGGTGCAGCCGAACTTAACATTTTTCTTGTTTCCTCCAAACGACGAGGCACATCTTGCCGCAGCAAAATTAAAAGACACTGCTTACACTTGTGAGCTCGCCTTTGGGGGAGAAACTTGTATATGATCGTCGAAATTTCAACTTCCGGTTTCGGCAATTAGAACCACAAATGCGATTATTCCTTTGCTCTCAGCGAACCTTCAATATGAAATGTAAAATCAATACAATATTTTAATGAGTTAAGCTCCTTAAACATTTTTGCTCCGATTGGATGCAATAAAAAAGCCATAAAAAGCATTCTAAAGGAGAAAGTGCCTAAAATATGCTATGAAAAAATTATTTAAATTGAAGCAAATTTCTCTGGAATTTCAAACAAAAATTTTATTTTATTTATGGCCCTGAATATTGGTGCAGTCAAAGCGTTATATAAGAATCATGAAATGAAATCGAGTGATTAAAAACAAAGTTGTAGAAGATGCACAAAGAGTGAAATTTGTTTACGCCGCCTCTTCATGGCACTAAATAATCTAATTTGATTGAAAAACAACAAAATATATTAGTCATTCCCAGCCTGTCAATCTACTTCACAGACCGACTGTTCTAACTGTGAAACACACAATAAACCGATGAAACTCGTTATAGCATATAAGAGATATTAAAAATTCCACATATTTTAGCGCTAGACTTGTCAAATATGCGAATTCATAATCATTGAACGAAGCAGTTATAGTGAATATCATACTTATACCATAATTTAATGCAAATAAAACCAAAAATATGTTTTTTCCTTTTCAGTTTTTAGTTCAATTTTAGAAAAAGGTTCGTTTATAAACCGAAAGCAAGCTCATAGAATGACGCACGAAACCTATCAAAGTGATTCTATATATATATTCTAGGGAATGATTTATGAAAATTTGGAACAAGAACTGTTGTTTTCGATGAGGTGGCACGATTTCTATCAAGTACATATGTATGTATAGGGTGATCCATTTCCATTCGAATATAATTCATTCGATCATTCGGAATAAAATTCTTTGGCATTACCGGATAACCCGCTATTTGATGCCTGAAATTAAAGCTCGTAATCTCGGCCCACAAACCACACTAAACTGTTGTTTTTTTCTAGATGTATGGCAGCTCTTTAATCTTTTCAGGTTGCTTTTCGTCCCAAATGCGGCAATTTTGCTTCTTTACATACCCGTTGAGCTAGAAATGAGCCTCATCGCTGAACAAAATTTGACTCGAAAACAACAGATCTTCTTGGAACTTTTCAAGAGCCCATAGAGCAAAGCGTTGTCGCTTGGGAAGATCGAGCGGCTTCAGTTCTTGCACATACTGTACTTTGTACGCTTTCAATTTAAGAGCTCGATGTAAAATGCGCCAAGTCGTACCATACGTCAATCCGAGTTGCTGCGTCAATCCGGCGCCGAACTCGCTTTGATGCTATTGTTCAAATGAAAACAAAAGATAACAACTGATTTCTACTTTGCCACTACGGGCATAATTTTGGACAAATGTTGGATATTATTCTATCTCTGACCGACCAAAAGTTTGGAAAAGATTTCTTCAGTTAATACATTTTTTAAATGTTGTTAATTTTATTGAAATTAGCTACAAAAAGAAGCATATGTATATTTCACATTTTATAAATGCGATGGGATTACGCTTTATGACGTTAGATAGCTTTGCAATATATTGACTCAGTATTGTTTAGGACCGAGAGTTTCTATGCGTATGGTATAAGTGGTACCTTAATTGAATTGAATAAGTTAATTATAGATGTTGACAATTTATTTCAATAAAAGTGAATTCACTATTGTTTTCGAAAAGACAAAATTCTCGGCGACGAGTGAAAGATAACAAAGCGCGTTGTATTTGTTCAGTCATTTACAGGGTGATATGCTTTCACCGTCTCAATAATAAACACTTTTGAGTTAGGCAAATGCAGTGTGTTAGAACAAACCAGCGCTGATTTCGAACCGCTGAATTTTAGCCAGCAAAAAGAAAAGTTAGCGCTGACTGAAATAATTTCACACCAAAGTAATTAAGATTGATTTTGGCTGTAGCTTAAAACAGCTCATTATATAACACGCTTTGAATAAAAATTCAAGTCGAATAATTATTAAAGTTGG